ATATTTGTGTTTTTTTATTTTATTTGTGCTGATGAATAAATAAAGGGAGACTAGTATAGATCTATTTCAAGCTATTAAGCTCTCATCAGCTAGCCATACCCTTACTGGGATTCGAACCCTTGGGTGAATTCAAAGTGGGTGAATTGTCCTAGCAAAGACTTGAATACAGGTACAGTATGTGTGGTACCTTGCTCAATAGTTGTGACTGTGAGAGGGATCTTGGAGTCCTAGTGCACAACCATTTAAATAGGAGCCAGCCGTGTGCAGCAGCTGCCAGCAAAGTCAACACAGTTCTAGGCTGCTTCAACAGAGGGATGGAATCAAGATCACGTGAAGAGTTGATACCACTTTATAAGGCCTTGGTAAGGCCACACTTGGATTACGGCATTCAGTTTTGGTCACCACAATGTAAAAAAGACTTTGAGACTCTAGAAAGAATGCAGAGAAGAGCAACCAAGATGATTAGGGGACTGGAGGCTAAAACGTGTGAAGAACGGTTGCAGGAACTGGATAGGTCTAGTTTAATGAAAGGAAGCACTAGGGGAGACACGATAGCAGTCTCCCAGTATTTGAGGGGCTGCCCCAAAGAAGAGTGAGTCAAGCTATTCTCCAAAGCACCTGAGTGTAGAGCAAGAAGCAATGGGTGGAAATTAATCAAGGAGAGAAGCAACTTAGAACTGAGGAGAAATTTCCTGACAGTGAGAACAATTATCCAGTGAAGCAACTTGCCTCCAGAAGTTGTGAATGTTCCAACACTGGATGTTTTTAAGAGAATGTTGGATAGCCCTTTGTCTGAAATGGTGTAGGGTTTCCTGCCTAGGCAGGGGGTTGGACTAGAAGACCTCCAACGTCCCTTCCAACTCTGTTATTCTATTCCTAATGACTTCTGAACAATATTTTAAAATCAAAACATGCCCATTGGACATTTATTACAGGTTTCTTGTGCCTTTCCTCTTTTGAGAGATACATATTCACTGGGTTTATTTTTCTCCTTTTTTTTCCCCCCAGTTCTGTGATCATGAAAAAACCAGATTGTATAGAGGTGGAAAGGAAGGAACTACTTCGCAGCCAAGCAGGTACGTTTCTAACCTCTGTACCTTATGAGGTTGACAAGTAAAGTCAATGGGGAAGCTAGACTCACTTAACAACCGCAGTGATTCATTTAAAAACGTAGGGCAAGAAAAATTGTAAAATGGGGCAAAAACGTGACACAACAGAAATTTTGGCCTCAATTCTGACTTGTATCGGATGGGTTGCCTGGAACTCAGGATTCAGTGGGTGACTGGGGAGAGCGAAAGGGACATTTTCCAAAATCTATTGTGAAGTTTCCAAAGGATGACCTAATTAATTTACGAGCCTCGAGACAAAGTTCAAAAGAAATCCATTTATTTATTAGGATCCACATTTTGGCATGTTCTTCTGTGGAGCCAAAACTGAATGCCGCTTAATTGCGTTTGAATTTTACCCCTGTATCCTCTCCCCTCTGTGTCATAAATCACCTTCACCAACACGGTGCCGTGGCAGGCTATAAACGTACAAGTTGACATCTATATTTTTCTCTTCACCCAGTTTGACAAGAGCCCCCATGTAGAACTGGAAGCAACTGTGCCTTGCGTGTACACCCTGTCATGCACGTTGGCGCCTAGCGTGAAGCAGGATGTCTCAGCAAACCAATATCGGGGAACTTCTCCCCATGTTGGATTCCCCAGTCCTGGCTGTCCTAGAAGACATCATGGCGGTGTTTAGAGACAACCTTGCCTCAGGTGGGTTTCGATGCCGGAGCGCTCTTGCCTTTTGTTCTGGGTCGCCTAAAGCACAAAGCAGAAAATGTGAATTGTAGTCCCGCCTTAGCTATGAAAGCCAGCGGGGTGATTTTGGCCAATCACCGGGAGATGGTGCATTCTAGTCCCGCCTTAAGCGTGAAAGTTGGCTGGGTGACTTTGGGCCACTCATTCTCTTTTCAGCACAACCAACCTCATAGAGTGGTTGTTGGGAAAAATCAGCAGAGGGCGCTTTGCGTTGGGTGTGTCCTCTGCCTTATTTTTTTTTTAACAAATAAAAAGTATTGCAAGACATCTGCTTGGCTGCTGAAAGAACCAAATCATTTTGTGCGAGTTGATTGGTGTTTTGTTTCATCGTTGTTCTGTCCGGATGGCGGATCGACACAGATCGTGGGCCCATGCTGGTGAATTCCTTGGTGGACTACTACTTGGAGACCAGCTCCCAACAAGCTTTGCACATCCTGATCGCTGTTCAAGAGCCACACGACAAGGTAAAAGGAGAAGAATGATTTGCCTCCAGGCGATGGGAGTGCTAGTTTCCACCATAGTTGTTCAAGGAATAGGCCGTTCTCCTGTGCGATGCTTGGGGAATCCAAGCATGGGTTAACTTTGTCCATTAGCCTAGAGACTGAGTTACGTAATTGTTGACCACGCCTCCTCTGACTGGATGGTTCAGTTTTTTTAACTCAGTCCAGCCTAAAGAGACGTAAAACAATTTTCTCTAGGACTAATAGACAAATTACCTTATTACTGGATTCATCATTTCCCCATTCAGGATGAACGGAGTGACTGTGAGATATCATATCGTAGTCACAGCAGGGACTGTGAGAGGGATCTTGGAATCTTAGTGGACAACAAGCTAAATATGAGCCAGAAGTGTGCAGCGGCAGCCAAAAAAGCCAACGCAACCCTAAATTGCATTAACAGAGGGATCCAATCAATATCAAGGGAGGTACTAATATCACTCTGTAAAGCCCTAGTAAGACCCCCACCTAGAATACTACATCCAGTTTTGGTCATCACACTATAAAAAAGATGTGGAGACTGTAGAAAGAGTGCAGAGAAGACCAACCAGGATGATTAGGGGACTGGAGGCTAAAACATAGGATGAACGGTTGCAGGAACTGGGCATGGCTAGTCTAGTGAAGAGAAGGACCAGAGGAGACAGGATAGCAGTCTTCTAGTGTTTGAGGGGCTGCCAGAGAGCGGAACGGTCAACCTATTTTCCAAAGCACCTCAGGGCCAGACAAGGAATAATGGCTGGAAACTGACCAAGGAGAGATTCCACCTAGAAATAAGGAGGAACTTTCTGACAGTGAGAACAATCAGCCCATGGAACGGAAGTTGTGGGAGCTTCATCCCTTGAGACTTTCAAGAAGAGACTGGGCTGCCATCTGTCAGAAATTGTGTAGGATCTTCTGCTTGAGTGGGGGAGTTGGACTAGATGACCTAGAAGGTCCCTTCCAACTCTGTCTGATGATCATATCTTCTAGCGCCCCCTGTTTCTGTGGTCAATGCTTTTAATTCCTTCCCTTTTTTTTATTTAAAAAAATTCTTTTCCCCCAGCACCTTCTCGATAAAATCAACGAATACATGAGCAAGCCCGCTACCCGCCTCGCCACTCTTTCGCTACTTGGCCACGTGATTAGATGTCAGCCCTCCTGGAAACATAAGCTCCCTCACGCCCCTGTGCTCCTTTCCCTCCTCAAGTGTCTCAAGGTAAGGGCTTAATGCCGTTAATAAATCTCATGTGTCATGTTTGGCCAACGGGGATAGAGGGAAGTTCTAACATTCTGTTGTTTTCCAATGCCAAAGGAATCCCACGTGTGCAATTGTAACTCGGGCAGGGGTCGGAAACCTTAAACACTCAAAAGAGCCACAAAGGTCCTAACCGGAAGTCTCCCCCCCCCCAATTCAATTCAATTCAATTCTGTAGCCGACCGGAAGTCTGATTCCTCCCACCATAGAGTCTCCTCCTAGTGTGCCATCCTTTTTTCTCTGCCGATCGGAAGTCCGGTTCCCCCCACCATAGAGTCTCCTCCTAGCGCAGCATCCTTTTTCCTGTACCTGTCCTAACTGAAAATCCTACCAATTGTGGAGCCGACCAGCGACAGGGAGGCACAACAGAGGGATGAAAGAGCCACATGCGACTCCAGAGATTACCAGGTTGACTCTTTGTGTAGCTAGCTTTCCTAGACAGCCCTGCTGGTGCAGTGGTTAGAATGCAGCGTTGCAGGCTAATTCTGCCCCGCATCCCCACCCCCGGTCAGGAGGTCAATCCTGACTGGCTCAAGGTTGATTCAGCCTTCAATTCTTCCAAGGTGGATAAAATGAGATTGGGGGCAAAAGGCTCACTCTATAAACAGCTTAGAGGGGGCAGTAAAATACTGCGAAGCAGTATATAAATCTAAGTGCTATTTGGATGGATGGATAGATGGATGATTGAGAGGGGAAAAAAGGGAAAGGATGGATGGATAAAATAGAGATAGACAGACGGATAGTCATGGTGGCACTGTGGTTACAATCAAAACTATATGCTAATTCTGCTGACTGCCAGGAGTTCGATCCTAACCTGCTCAAAGTTGATTTAGCCTCCTATTCTGACCCCCTCCTCCGTCCAGTAATGAAAACTGAGACAAGCGTAAAATGGGATGTCCTTTAATAACAAGACCAGACTCTCGGTGGCTGAAAGCCAAATAAACAAACAGATAAGGACCTTGGCAGCAATTCAGACTAACTCTGGCAGCAATCCAGCCTGCCAAGTTAGTTTCTCTTTAGTCCAAGNCTACTATTGAGCCAAGTGCCACCTATGCTGTACCTGTGCATTTTGTTTTCCTTGCCTAAATGTAGAACCTTACTCTTTTCACCACTGAATTTCATTTTGTTAGATAAGCAAGGGGAAACCAGACTCATTTCACAACCTTAAGTTTGTGTCCCTAACTTAACAACTGCAGGGATTCGCTTAACAACGGTGGCCAGAAAGGGACAAAACTCTCTTAATAACTGTCTTGCTTAGCAGTGGAAATGTTGGCTCAGTTGTGGCCGTTGGTTGATTGAGGACTATCTATATTTCCTCTGAACGTTTGGCATAATCTATGCAAAACTATAATAAACTGGAAAGTCATAAACCGTTCGCTTATTTGCATGAATGTTTTGTGTTTTCTGTTCTAGTGACCGTGCAGAAATGACACAAATACAATTCTAGTGCCTGTTGTCAAAGGAAACACAGCCTCAATCTTGGCTTTTGGGGATATATATATATATATGTTTTTCTTCCCAGATTTGGTTAAAGGATGACGGCTACGAGAGAAAACAAAACCTAGCTTGTATGCCTTATTAAATCATGCTGGGGAAGGAAGCCACCACTGGGTAAGTTTGAAAACTCCGTGGCTAGTTACAGCCCACGAGGCCACGGAGAGTGAATGGCTGAACAAAGCCCTTCTTTGAACAAACCCTGGTGGAGGAAACCATGATTTAAAGATGCAACCTCAGCCAGATCTGAAAGTGAGGAGCAGCGTGGGAAGAAGAATATGCTGTCACCAAATTTTGATAAGTAGAAAATTATCATTGACAAGCGGTCACCCTCTGTCTGATAAGCAGTGAAATTAATTGAATTGAATTCCCACCCTTCTTTGGAAGAACAATTCCTGGCAAATAGATTGGGGGAAGAAATAGAGGGGGTGACGGATTTTATTTTCCTGGGCTCCCAAGATCACCGCAGATGGGGACTTAGCCAAGAAATTAGAAGACGCTTGCTCCTGGGCGATGGCAAATCTAGGCAGCATCCTAAAAAGCAGAGACATCACCCTTCCAACACAAGTGCGTCTAGTCAAGGCTGTGGTTTTCCCAGTTGCAACGGACGGCTGTGAAGGTTGGACCATAAGGAAGGCTGAGCG